GGCGGAGTACTTCCACTTGCCCGGCAACGATGTAGAACTCCCCGTGGACTTCCACGACATGTACAGACTACTGCGGGAACAAGACCTTGACATCACCCAAGTCACCTTGTTCTCTATGTAAGTGATGAATTGCGAGTTTCACATATCACCTGCCTTTGAATCGGTCAAGACTACTTATATATGCCACGATGGCTTGTCCTTGCAGGTTGATGGCCTATATATCCAAGGAACTAAAACTTGATGTTATCTATCTATCTCCAATGCATATTGCTCAAAGAATCATCATTGGTTACCACCTAGATGACAATCATCCAACCATGAAAGACTTGACCAAGCGACAGAGAGAGGCGCACAGGAAGAAACTGATGGACAATGAGAAGTTGAACATTTCAAGATACATACTAGGAGCAATGAAGAAGATCAAGGGAAATGGGTGTATCCTAGCTGCCTACCACTTTGGGTAAGTCGAAGACATGCCTGTAGATATAAGTGGGTAGCTAGCTAGTATTATTATTTCTTGTCGTAACCTGTATTTTGTTTCAATGGCATAGCCAAGGCCTCGAGGGTCACTGGGTTGCATTTATCATCTACCCTCAGGATGGCAGGGCCTGCGTATTTGATTCGTTGACAGTGCCAAACTTAAAAGGGTACAAGGCCTTTGAAGATTGCCTCAGAGTGTAAGTGACTGAACTGTCTTCTCATATGCGTTCTAATGCCCTACCTAGTACTAGTATATTTCGTATAGCGCTTATAAGGAGTACGTGAAGGATCCTGAATGCTATGATCGAAGAACAGAGAAATTTAAGGCTAAGCATAAGAACCGCATCAAAATCAGACGTAAATTTCTGGTAAGTATTTGAAAGGTTTAATTGTGCTTTCCGTTCATATGCGTTCTAATGCCTGTGTTGTAATGCTTGTGTATCGATCATGCAGTGTGCTAAACAACCGGTAGGATCACGAACCTGTGGCTTCTACGCCTGTGAGTTCCTGAGGGTGTGCAAGCAGTACAGCAGCAGTTGGAGGGTGCTCAAGAATGGATTGAACTGGTCGAGAGACATGCAGAGCACCCAATACAGCTTCAAGCAGACAAAGGCGGACATATGTAAGTTTGTCTTAGACAAATGCGTGCTTGAAGGGGGCACGTTCTTTAATGAGAACAGCCCGCTAGCGATTTTACCGGAGTACGAGAGGCTGAGGAAATGGCCCACGATGATGCGTCCGCAGGATTATACCTTAGCGCATGTATAACGACTTTAATATGTAAATGTAATGAATTAACGATGACAAGAACGACTAAGTGAATGTGTATATATATGTATATTATCTCATGTGTAATGCCTGCATACTTTTTAAGTTTAATCTATGAAATCTGGATGTGATTTGAATTTGAATTTATATGCCGGCTGTATTTTATTTGAATTTATATGCCTGCTGTATTTTTTTTAATTCAGAAAATAATTTACCGAGGCGGGCAAATAATAAAGCCCGCCATGGCTAATCAACATAACCGCGGCAGGCCACAAAAGGTGTCCGCCGCGGTAAAATAATTTACCGCGACGGGCGGTGTAACGTGCCCGCAGTGGTAAAAGTATATTTACCGTAGCGGGCACGTTACACCGCCCGGCGCGGTAAATCGGTTAACCGCGGCGGGCAAAGCCGCCCGCCGCGGTTAAGCCACGATTTACCGTGGCCTCTAGGTCGCGGCGTATGGCTTTGCCCGCCGCGGGAAATCGAAAATGCCCGCCTCCAGTAAAGTTTGTGTAGTAGTGTTGGTTGTTGTTTTTTCTGTAGTTGCACCCGGAGGTCGCCCTGGTTTAGCCTTTCCTGTGATCGGAGGATCTTTGGTGGTAGTTGTGTTGTTCTGGATACTGGCTGAACCAGGGGGTCTGCTCTTGTAAAAAACTTTTGTAACTTTTTTTCTCTTTTCCTCGTCTAATAAAATGCCCGGCACTGGTAGAGAAACGAGCTTTACTCCCGGTTGGGAAACCCCTTCAGTCCCGGTTTCCCAACCGGGAGCACGAATTCAGGACTAAAGGGCCCCTCCTTTAGTCCCAGTTTCTCGCCCGGGACTAAAGGTCCACCTTTAGTTCCGGTTGGTAAGACCAACCGGGGCTAAAGAGGTCTCCTGGCCTGGCTACGTGGACCGGACCTTTAGTCCTGGTTGGTAATACCAACCGGGACTAAAGATTTTCTTTTTTTTGTTTCTGTTTCTTTTGATGATTCGTTCGCATTCTACGCTTCTACTGGGTTTCTTTTTCTTTTGAAGATTCGTTCGCATTCTACGTTGCTACCGGGGCTTTCTATTTTCTTTTTCTTTTTTTGTTTCTATTTTCAATTGATGATTCGTTTTGGCTTTCGAATACGCATTCTACGCTGCTAGAATATGCGTAACATTTTGTACAAACTAAAGTATCAAGGATGCAGCGGTACGATCCTATAGAACAGATCCGGTTCAAGTAAAGTCGTGGTGCATGGCTCCAGAGCTGAGCATTTAAGTTAGCTTTCACTCTTCTGAGCAAGCGAGGTAGTGCTAATAGGTGGGACTGGCCAGCAATTCCAGCATATTGCATACTGGGCCGCTCCATTCTGGTCGAGCCAGCCCATCGAGACAGCAACCGGGACTAAAGCTAATGCAACCTTTAGTCCCGATTCTAACAGCGAACAGGGCGTTTAAAGCTTGTCGCCGAATAAACTCAAAAGTGCATGCATGTAGATATACTAAAGCTAACAACAACCGGGACTAAAGCTACTGCAGCCTTTAGTCCCGGATGGATGGACGGCAGGCATCACATACAAGAGCACAACCAGGACTAAAGCTAATGTAGATGTACTGTTAGTTGCATGTAGAGGAAAGTGCAGTTGAGGCATCATGTACAAAGAGCACAACCGGGACTAAAGCTAACGTAGATGTACTGTTAGTTGCATGTAGAGGAAAGTGCAGTTGAGGCATCACGTACAAGAGCACAACCGGGACTAAAGCTAACATGCATTTCTAAAAGGAAAGTGCAGTTGGGGCCCACGCAGCCCATCCACATGATCGGTTGGAGACCTTTAGTCCCGGTCGGAGACAGCAACCGAGACTAAAGGTCCCTTTCTAGTCTCGGACGGAGCCTCTAGCCGAGAGTAGACTTTTACTCTCGGTTCGAGGGACCAACCGGGAGTAAAAGTTAACCTTTAGTCCCGGTTGGTAGCTCCAACCGGGACTAAAGGTCCCCTGCAGCAAAAGCCTACCGCAGTAGCCGTTGGGCAGGGACCTTTAGTCCCGGTTGGATCTACCAACCGAGACTAAAGGTTTCTCTAGTCCCGGACGCAAAAAATACCGGGACTACAGCCAAATTTCGAAGTGGATAAAAGGTCGTTTCTCTACTAGTGCGGCAAAGCTCTTGCCGCCCTTTCGAAAAAATATATTTTCTATTTTTCACTTTTATTGCAGATCTTTGTGCAAAGGAGTTTGACATCCTCAATAGGAGCAAAGATATGTGATATATCTGCCAGTTACCGTTCTATATTTTTTTCGATGGGGATCATTTAGATTTTAGTCTACTTTTTAAATATGGATTTTAGTCTACTTTTTAAATATAGATTAGTAGTGTATTCACATTACACAAAAACAATGCTTGTTGTGTCTCTTTTGGTTATGTGATTGGCAAGGTCTGTTTATCTGATCATCTTTCTTTTACGATAATCATGGGATTATCGTAAATCTGCATCATAAGTATCTTCAATCGTCCTTAGCTGCCATATAGTAAATTTAAACATATATAATTTGCTCTTTCTAGCATGATTGTTTATAATTATTCAAGATTGTAGAGTTTCCGGGTTTTCTTGCTTGTTAGATGATTATACTATTCTATATTACTATTTTAGATGATTTCAGGAGATGATGCTTTGGGGGAAATTACTAGGCAGCATCCGTGTTTTTAGTGTATAGCAGCCTTTGGCATGGTCGATCGATCTCGTCCCTGTTACAATTATGCTCAGGCTCCATTTTGTGTTGTCTTCCACTAATTTTTTGTTCACGTAAATGAAACAGATCAATCTAGAGCTAGCTTATTTTTACATGTTCAGCTGTGTTTTCCAAATTGAAATTCCCAGGAGTTTTCATTAAAATTGTCCGTGCTGCAGCCAAGACTTCCCAGACGACAGCAGCTTTCAGCCTTTTAAGAACGTTATAAAGCGTCATATTATTTAAGTTTGTTCATATTTTTGGTGATTTCAGGCAATGAGAGTTCCCAGATAGTAGCTGCTTACTTTACAGACCAGCAAACAGGAGTACTGCTAGTGCTAACTAGGCACCAGGTTCCCGGACAGGCGGACAGTAGTGCCCAAAATAGAATGTGCAAGAAAATGAAATAAATTTAGATATTGTAAACTTCAGTTACCTTTGAGATGGCACATGTAGTTTCACAATGTATAAGGATGGTATATTGTATTTTGCATACTGTATCTAATACTATCTCTCGGAGTTTGAGCGAATATGATCAAAGAGAAATTGTTTCAATTTGAATTCAGACAAGGGGTCGCAGTTGATACAACCCATATTTCCTAATTAGTGCACGTGTATCGTCACTAAACCATCATATAAATAACTGTGATAATTTCATGATACCGTTGTGGTAAATTGATCATATATTTCGTGCCAAATACCAAATAAATTGAATTATCATACACACACACACGAGTAATTAACCTCACAGCACAAACGTGTTATTATATTTAATTTGTCATATGATCAGCAATATTTTGAAATAAATTGAACTTACAATAAAATATTCAATACATGAATTCTTCAAAACGGTCAAACTCGTCAAGCCAGCAAGCTCCAAAGATATACATATAAAACACCGATCGAAGAAACAAGCACTGAAAGCAACGACGTCTGAATTAACGCAACCACGTCCGGCCTGCATGCAGATCGACGACGACGTCCCATGCAGATGGGCCTGCAGCTCTGCCGGGCTGGATCCAAACAGCTAGTCCCATGCAGCCTGCAGATCGAATCATTTCTGCAGCAGCTCGGCGCGCTCGGTGCAGGACACGTCCGCCCTGTTGCTGTCCGCCTTGTCGTCCGGGTCCCCGCCGACGATGACTGGTGCGCAGTAGTACGTGGTCTGCGGAGCCGACTTGTTGAACCCGGACACCACCTCCGTGATGAGATCGCCCTCTATCCGCATCGTCACGCCGCCGACGATGCCGTCGCCGCTGTACAGCATCGCGAAGTAGGGCGGGTGTACAGCGTCGGACGTCAGGTGCAGCTGCAGGTCGGTTTCCACCGTACCCAGCTGCTCCACGGTCTTCGACTTGCTGAGTGGGAAGAAGACGAAGGAGTCGGCGGCGGGGTTCGACGACGTCGCCCGCGAGTCGTTGCCGAACAGGTACACGGTGATGTTGGTGTAGTACATGCGGACGCGGCCGCTGGGGTTGTAGAAGCGGACTTTCACATCTAGGACTATCTCGGCATTCTTCGCCGGCGACGGCGACTGCGACAGCGGCTTGTTGAAGAAGGGAAGTGAGCCCCCGACGACCGATACAGACAGCACCTCAGGGCGGAGAACCACCTTGATGGCGTGCACTGTAACGGCAACGATGAGAACGGTCATCACCAAGGCCAGCACGTACCTCGCCGCGTCTAGCCATCGGAATGTCGTCGTTGATTTCTCGCTGTCACCGTCAGCTGCCATTGTAAGACGACGTAACAGCTAGCTTTGTCGACTTATTGCTCAAAAGAAAAATATTTTTTTGACTTCTACAACGTCTACGTGGACCTAGCTAGCTAGAGAAATGAGCTAGTCTGCTTGGTTCACCGACGCAGCGACCTATTTATAGATCTGTGTTTTGGAAAGGCCATCCATAGTTCAATATACTACAGAGCTGGCAAATGACAAACATATGTATTTGTTGAATTCTATGTATTTCGACACGCGCACACACATAATTTCTGTTTTGTATCTGGCCATAAAATAACTTACTATACTAATCTACGAGATTATTGTAACTCCCTCTTCAGTGATTTAATCGCTCTATTCCAAGTTATAAGGCGCTTTGACATTTTTAGATAAGTAGATTTTACTATGTATCTAGATATACATTTATGTCTAGATACATAGTAAAATCAATGCATCTAGAAAAAGCCAAAATGTATTATAATTTGGAATGCAGGCAGTACTAATTTAGCATAGCATATTACTAGCTATTTTGTTTGATTTAAAGAGCTTATTACTATTCTGGTTTACACATTAAATTTCTTCTTCTAACAACTTCTATGTACTAAATATATCTATATTCGATATGAAAACTGCTACACTATACATCTTATTTTACCTTTTCTACTAGTATGGATTACGGCAGTGTTCGGCTGGCTGGCTGGCCAGCCACCTCACGAAATCACTGTTCACGTCCTACCAGAACAGTATTTTTCTCTCAAAACAATCAGCCGGAACAGTATTTTTCAGTCATACCGAACAGGCCCTACATTCTTGATATATCAAGTTAAACACAAAATTGTCGTATAGACTAGGTTAGGCCTTGCTTGGACCCATGAAACCCCAAACCAAGTTTAGGGACCCAAATGTATCGTTTTGGATGTTCGTGTACCGTGATAACACCGTCGGCCAAGTTTAGGGACCGGCGATGATCATCTTAGAAGTTCGTGGACTGGAATGATACCGCTGACCAAGTTTAATTAAGGACCCACATATATCAGTTTGAAAGTTCATGGATCGGGATGGCACCGACGGCCAAATTTAGGGACCCCGGTGGTGAATTTTACTCTTATAAAGCATTTGATGAACATGTGAATGCACGCATCTTGTGCCCACCGATTGGGCCAGGGAAGCTCGGCCACAACCTGCTAGGTATGAACAAGATGCATGCCCCAGGCCTTTGATCCTGTCATCTAGTCATCATATCATCCAGCAAAGTGCAAAGGTGCCCTAGTACAGTTCACCAACATATATATACGTTATATATTCTCTCCTCAACGCTGTGCAGCTATGGCAAAGTATAAAAGGTGTCGATCGGTGGTAAATCAGTGTAGTGCATACAATGTACGGTGGTTCGCTACTTCCTTTTCTTTGTCATGTAATTGTTTCACCTTTTGTCTCTCGGTCCCTCCTGCTGCTTCTTCTTCTTTCCCTTTGGAAAAGCTACCTCGTAGAGAACACGATGCACCGAGCAAGTAACAATCTCCTAGAGCAGATAGATCTCATCGAGTAAACTTCAAGTGCGGACACACTTGTTGGGGTGGAGGCGTACACTACAGTAACTCAGAGATTACTGGACGATGTGAAAGAGTAACAGATATTACTGTACATATATATTTCTTGAACTACGATAATTCAGAGATTACTCAATGGGTAAGCAGAAAAGATATGATTACTCCATACGTTTTTAAAGAAAGTTCCTTGTTTAATTCTTAATTCTTAAATATTTTCATATATCAACACCAAATTAGATTTGAAGGTGACAAAATCTACTGATGATCGATTAAAGAGTCTTTATTCAGAATATATGTCTAGTAGGGAGCAAAGCACAAATAAGACGGCAAATTTGGAAATGGCAGAATATATTGATCGATTAAAGAGTCTTACTTTATTCGACATGCATGCTGCTGGTCCAAACTCAAGACATCTGATTCTTCTCTTTAAAAAAACATTTGAGCTCCTGAGAAGCCATCCAGGACGCACTCGGCAATCCAAGAATCAGTTGCAGTGAAAGGTCACAAAGAGTCCAGAGATGTTGAGGCAACAGATCAGATAGATCTACCTCCGATCCACACGGAGAAATCGTCGAGTGCTGTTTGGGTTGTTGGGCTGGTGCACTTGACGTTGATTTCGGTGGCGCCGCCGCTGCATGTGGGGTCCGAGCCCATGGTGATAGAGTGATTCTAGAAGGAAACCTTACTCTATGGTACTCCCTCTGTTCCAAATTGTAAGATGTTTTGACTTTTCTAGGTACATTACTTTTACCATGTACCTAGACATGGTGTATATCTAAGTGCTTAGCAAAAGTTATGTGTCAAAAAAACAAAACGTCTTATAATTTAGAAGAGAACTTGTTTCTAATTAAATTTGATGGGTATAATAGTATTTTTACATTTCAAGAACCTCTTCTCGACGTGCCAGCGCCGTGGCGGCCCCCTTGCGGGCGCACTCGCCGTGGGCAGGCTCTGGCGTGGTAGCTCCCTGGCAAGCGCGGACTCCGATGGACAGGACCTGCAGCTCCCTCCCTCTCCTAGCGTGGGCGGCGTGGCGCCCCCTGGTGGGCAACTCTCCGTGCGCGGGCTCTGGCTCGGGTGCTCCCCGTCGCTGGATCTGTACACCGCAAGAGACGCATAGACAGGCAAACTGATTCATGGCCATTCCTATGCGAGCTGCCCAGTGCCCAGGTACCTTTGAGTATTGGTGTGGACTCATGTTCTGCTCTCTGACAAGACATAGCACAACTTGAAGGTGACATGCTTCGTGGATCATGTGCTTCTGAAATCAATATCAATTATTTCTCAATTAGTAAAGCGAGAAGCCTAAACTGTCACAGTTTCCTTCAGTTGTTTCGGTGATGTGAGATTCAGAAGAAAGGAAGTATGAAGCCCAGTGAATGGATTCGATGCAGAGGAGACGTTTGATGAGTTGATGGCTTGTCAGCATGGAAAATTGTGGCATTTTTAGGCGGTGGATACATGGTCAGCTTTCTTTTGTATAGATGAGTTTGTGAAGAGGAAGACATTAAAATAAGAGATGACGATCATACATGCTGTAGAAAAAATTCCTAGCTTATAATTGTTGTATCATTACGACTACCAGTATGAATGCAAATGTAACTAAGCGTTCATTGAGTTGGATGTTTAAATTTCTTTTCTTGGAGCCAAGAACTGAGGACTCTATTAAAGAATTTGCTCAAGTATATGATCCAATAGTTCAGAACCACTCTGTAGTAAACAAGACATCTGGAGATTTTGTGCAAAATTAATCCATAACTATGCTCAAGCATCACACCAGGTTTATAATTCAACAGAGGAATCAGGTTCAAATTGCAACACACTACTCAGTATAGTGAAACAGTAGGCGGCAAGCAGGCAGATCACAGTAATTTGGCATCAAGCACTTCCTCTTGAGTCCATAAACATATGTATAAAAACGATTTCAGGTTTGTGCATTCCCTTTTAGATTTTCATCAAGTGTAGCACAATGAAGTTGTGTTCAGTAGAGGAAGCAAATTGAAGCCATTCCCAAAATTGGTTCGAAGTAACCAAAGAAGTTATAAACTGAAAATATAGACAGATTGAAATTTTCCTTATACTGAATGTCATAAAACTTTCATCAGGCTTTCGAAATGTCTGAATCTACACGTATGAGGTTGAACATCTAATAAATACATCCCTCAAAATTTCAACAGGTCTAAATTGATATCCGTTTAGGTTATTCAAAAGTAAATCCCAGGTCATCAATCTGTTGCGAAGATCCCCTGACACGGTCGCTGTGGGTGAGGATGGGATCTCATCGCCGGTTACTCCTTGGGCTGGCAGCTCCTGCTAAGCACGGTGGTGCCGATCCCTGAAGCCGGCGACAGCAAGCCCTTGCAGGTGAGCACCGGCGAGACCCTGCAGGCTACAGGCGGCCGAAGGCAGTACCTCGGAATCCAAGGTGGCTGGTGGTGCGCCCCGTGAAGGCAGGCGACGTTATCTATACCAGCAACTGACTGTGTTGCAGGCCCTTGCACACAGGCGCCAGCGAGCACCTGCAGATGGTCAGCGTCGAGCCCTTCTAGGCGTCTGGCGGTGAGACCAAGACAGGCGGCCGTCGCAGTGGCGCTCCTTGTATGTAGGCAGTAGTGGCGAGCCCTTATTCCGTTTGAGCGTCCAGTTCATGTGATGGGAAAAGAGGAAGATCCACGGTAAAAAGACTAGACTACCCATAATTACACAAATTTAATTCTTTTCACATCAAATGGCTGAAAAAATTTATTTAGCGTAACAAACCTCCTAGCCCACATATTTTTGGTTCTGGTCTATAACTTAAGTTCCTCTATATTGGTTCTTTCTATTTTATAACCATAAGATCTATCTAAATGGATGGCTCTTCTTTTTTCCAAGCATTGTAAAAATTCACAATTTAGAATGGAGGGAGTAGGTAGCAACTGTTGACGTTTTTTTCTTTTTTGAAATTAGACAACTGTTGAAATTTGGTAACTTGCACTATAATAATAGGGGATGCTTCGTAGTTGGTATTATATTTGTTTTGTTTTTCTTTTGAGGAATCGGGAGGGCCAGAGGCCACTGCTCTTTAAAAATATATGTATATATATAAAGATAAAATACAATGGTTCAAAAACAAAGGACACTGCAAGTCCCCTGCTCAAGAGACCAAAAAAATAAAGAAAGAAGTTGTGAGGAAATTGAAGTTACAAAAGATTTTCTATCCATGAGCTTAACTGCGGTGCTATTTTTCTCTTTGCTCTGTATAACAACAGACAACTCTGAAGTGAAAGCTCTTTTGCAATTCTCAAAGTTTGGTTGAATCCCTTTGAAGATGAAGTCATTTCTAGCCATCTGGATGGTCCACCACATAACGATGGCCGAGCTAGTGCAGCACCTTTGTGTGCCTCTTCAGTCTTCAGACGCCTCTGATCAAGACCAGACCCAGGTTGAGGAAGTCCAAATTCCAGTCTGGAAATTTCTCGCTCA